TCTGCAGCGCCTCAACGTGTGATTGGTCTTGGTCAAGTATCATTCGTTAAAAAAAGAACTGTTTAGAATGCTTTGGCTAACGTCGAATAGGATACCCATAAAACTTCCCGAAATAGCGTCCGTATCTCATGATGTCGATGATGCACAAATCTTTCATAATACACGCGGCAGATGGATCCCGATATCCTATCCGTCCACCAACTCCTCAAACCCTTGCTAGCCCAACCGTTTTCTTTTTACGGTTGGACTGTTAAAACGGGCGACACAAAAAGAAACCCACACATTCCATCAGACTGGGTCGAAAAGCATTTCGCCCACTGTTCAAACCCGCGACTCCATGTTGTAAAACAAATTCGACGATAAGATTGTCGTTTTAAGATTGGTCCCTGTGGAAAACGTCTCTCAGTTCCTGATTAAAAGACGAGGTAAAGCCCATTAGCCCATCTTGAACTTGGCTACAAGCTACTAACTAGCCCGTGCTTGCCTGCGAGTAAGAAGCGAGGACGGATCGGAGCTCTACCTAGCGCAGACAAGAGGGAGGGCCGTGACTGTGGAGGGTGAGGGGAAGACTGAGAAATGGGTGGTACTTACAAGAGAGCCAGCTCAAGGTCACCGTGGATGCGTGCCTTCAGCGTGATTTCAATGTCGAGGTTGAGGTCAAGACGCAATCGAAGAGTGTCGCTCTTGTCACCACCACCGCCGCCTTGCTGTTGCAGCGCACCACCAGCAACGTTGCCCAGTGTGTTCTGCACGCCGTTTGTCACGCCGCCGACATCACCAATGCCACCGAGGTTATCGAGAGGGCCGCTTGACTGCTGCTGCTGACGTCTCTGCATCTGCCTGCGTTGCGGGCGCTGACGGCGCTGAGGCTTCTGCTGCTCGCTGGGTGCTTCCGAGGTCTCATCTTCGGAAGCGTACTTGGTGTTGTTCTTCTCGCGGGGGGAGGCCATTGTGACTGATGAGGGTTGGTGAACTTGTTGATTCAAAGATGGGCTAATGAACTTTTCCTGGTGTGAAGGAAGGGAGAACTGGTATTAAGGGCTTTTTGTCTACCAGTAAGTTTGGAGTGTCTCTTCAAAGTCTGTTTCTATCCATCGACTCTGGATGAGGACGCAACATATAAGTGATTCCGGACAGTATCCGGAAGGGGTCAAAACAGGATGTAAAAGCTTACACCCCTTCCAGCTGATGAGATCATGTTGGACCCTGGGGCATCCAGGATTCCCATCTCTCACTGCTCTCACCCCTTCAGATTTGCGTCACACCACTCGACTCTCTCGATGTTCTGGACCGAAATGACGTTGAAAAGGGCCAAGCGGCATGTGTGCGGAGGGGAGGGGGGGGCGGATTCACTGGGGCCGCTGGGGCATTGGTCTTGTCTCATGCTCGATGCGTCCCCGATCTGCCTGTGCCGTCGAGGAGGAAGCGCGGCCAACCCAGCCCAACACATCCCGGGCTCCCAAAAACACCAAAGAGGTCGATATGGTGTCTGCCATCCCTGTTCTTTTTCGGATTCAACGCGCACCTTTCGCTGGCTTGCACCCAATCATGCCCTATCAGACTCGCACCACGGACTTGCGATCACTGGTGCCGCCAATGCAGGCATGACGCAGCATTACTCTGTTCCTGCAACCAAACAAGCTCCTTGTAAGTTGGTTTGAGCTTGCAAGCTTGCTGAATGCTATGCACTGACGATGTACGGACTCACGGGTTACAGATGCCAACTATTCCTATCCTTGCAAGCTGCAGAACGCCTCGGGACCTGTTCTATTTGCACGTCCCTGCCAAAGCTCCGAGACTCCTGGAATCCCCCCCGGATTATTCCAAAATTTGACACACACTCATTTTATCCTTCGAGATGATCTGGCTCGCCTATCCTTTCACGTAGGCGCTCTCAATGCCTAGCGCCATCTGCCGCCTGAGAGATATCTCCATACAGTCCTCGGTATCATAGCCTTCCCGCAACCGCCCATCCGGATCCCAATATGCAGCCCACCTGCCGTCCTCCTCCAGGACGGCTACGAAGCCGAGCCCGCTACCTCTAAGTGTGAGATGCCTCTCGTCGTCAGTCCAACCCCAAGGTCCTATAACATGGCCTAGGGTATCTTTGCGGCCCCCGTGACGGAGTGCTCTGCTGTCGGCGTCGACATAAATCCAGTTCAACATGGGCGGGTCTTCCGCTATCGTTGATACCAAGGCACGCATTGGTGGTTCGCTGGGGTAGTTGAAGTAATACCCTGAGAACTTGTGCCCTGGCGCTGGTGCCAGACTATGACTTATCCATATCTGCGGGGGAGAATGTGTGTATTAGTCCAACTGAGATGTGCCGCAAGGTTTCCAAGTTGGCGAGGGAGCTAGTGTAAGTCAAAACACGCGGCGAGGTTGGCCGAGTGGGTGTGCCAACCTCCGCATAGGGAAACGGGGAAAAGAGAAAAGCAAGGAAAAGAGAAAGAGCATGCAGATGTCTGCAGACGCGGGAAGGGGGGCCGATGGGCGATCGAGAGGGAAGGAGGGAGTGTGAAGGGCGTTGGATGTGGGCTGTTGGCTGTCGGTTTGTGGGATTTGCTCACCTTGTTGTCGACGACGATACATGGACAGTCTTCTTGCTTGCCGTCAATGGTCATGGTCGCCGTGAGGCTGAACTTGGCCTGTTCTTTGGAAGCAGCATTCTGCTTCTTCTGAGCGCTCACGGCCTGACCAGTGCCGATGACTGTGGGTATGGCGGCGATGGCGAGCAGACCGATGACCATGTTTCGAGCTTGTTTTCCGAGGCGAACGACTAATAACGCAGGAAGGGTAAAGTGAGAATCAAGGGATGAAAATCCGGGTGAGTGACTGTGGACGGCGGGAGTCGTTGACCTTTTCGAGTGAGAGTGGGCACTGGGACGAGCTCAAGTGAGTTGAAGTCGAGGGAGTCAAAGTTCCTTTGGAGCCTCGCCGCTGCCTGTTCACAACTCTAGGTCTGCTTCGTGTCGTGTCGGGACTCGGAAATGTCAGTTGGCCCAAGCCGTGGGGTCAAACCACCGCGCGCGTGTGTATGGATCAACGGATTTGCAATGATCGTTGCAACGTGGTTCGCGGCCGAGTTACCCTCTTGCTTCTGGTGTCCTGAAGGTCGATACCGGTATGTCACTGTCTCAGAGGGCTTCCGAGGGACCTTCTTTGATGGATTTTCAGAAGAAACAGGTTTACGGGGTTTCTGCTCTGGGGTTCGTGTGGTCATCATATCGAAAGGCTAACGCCCTGTGCCTCGCGTCCTTTGCTCCTCCCCGCGGCGAGAAGTGGCTGGCAGGCGTGGCAGGTCTGGGCTGGTTGGTCTGGCGGTCACGACCACGGTACGGTCAGGCATCCAATATGCCTCTCCTTTCTCGGTCTCTCACTCTTCCTCGCAAAAGTCTGCGGGCAGCGGGCCACATGCACCCAGCGCCTGGACGAGAAGAGAAGTGGAAGTCATTCTGGATCGAGATGCCCGTTTCGGGTACCCCTGTCTGGGGTCAGCCGACACCCAATGCTCACGTTTTGGTGTGGTCCACAGTATGCATGTCTAGACCGTTCGCTGTTCTCTGCATACTCCATTTATTTTTTTGCGGTTCGATACTTTGATACATTTTACGAATCCTCTTGAAGTCTTTACATTCACACCCTATCGACGTCATTCTCTCGAGAGGATTATGTACACTCGGGCTTAGTCTGCTTTGACTTCAGATTCCTCCTCCACCACTCACGCTAGGTTCATAGACTTTTCGAACATGATCGACCGGGGTAGCTCCCGAAGCTCTCTCGCAACGCAGCAGAGTGCTGAGTTTCGACCAACCACGGTTCGAGCACGCCTTTCGGCTCCTAGCCCGTCGACGTCACTCTTGATCCTTTTCTCTTATCGTTTTTTTTTTCTTTCTTTCTTTCTCAATGCTGGTGCTTGTCTACCGTTTTTACTAGACAGCTCTTTCGCCTTATGCCGAAGGGAACTCTTACACGCCCCCCTCTTCTTATGTCTAGGGACCCTGTCGATCAGGAAGGACGGGCTGGCTGCAGCTTGCTTGCTTTGCCTGCTCGCTGCTCTTCCCATACCAGGTGCCAGCATACGGTGAGCTTTACCATAGGTGAGGGAGTTCGGACAGCTGCTCGCTACTAAGCCAGAACCAAAAAATCCAAAAAAATCTTGATTCTCATCCAAAACCTGTATCGAATGTGATATCACAGCGGCGGGTCCAAGTCTACACGTGTTTGTCAGAAGGTACCTACACGTCCCTCCCTCCCCCAATTCCTTGTATCCTTTCCCCAGTATTATCACCAAACAGTGACATTCTCTCTGCTGGGTCTCGGGAGAGGTCCAGACCTCATTCGATTGTAACCCGTTGCCTCTCTCGAGTCTCATTCCCGTCCGCCCATGCCACTTTTTTTTTTTTCTTTGACCAACTTTTTGCTGGGTCCCCTTCTTTTGGACAACGTTGTCTGTTCACCGGGTCCCCCTTCCCCATCCCCGTGTACTGCGTAGGTGTGTGTAAGCCCATGGTTCCCACATTCACACCCTATTGCGTCACAAGAGATGAAGATCCGGATTGCGGTTCAGGTTCAGCCTCGCTGTCCCTGTGCAGAATTCCTGTTTGATGGCATTGAGGGGGGGAGGGGTGTGAGGTAATGATGTTGTTAACTCTCATGGCAATCCGATTTAACTTATACCAACCTGTGTACCTAGCTTTTTATCCCACCCTTCTAGATGATCTCTTGATTTTTCCCTTTTCCAATTTTGAAAAGATTCCCATCTTCATTGAATACTGAATAAACTCACTCTGATCTCTTTTCACTCTTTGTGAGGGAGACATTTATCCGTACACACATTGACCTAAACGCCCGCCTACTACACCGCGCGACCACCAAACTCAACTCATATACCCACCTGAATAGCTTCACTCGAGAAACCTTACTGAAAAGGCAATTGAGGAGTTCACGTTTCCACATCCCAACAAACCCACCCCGTCAGATTAATGGACTCGGACACAATGGCCAGAAACAAGAACAAGGTAAGTTCTCATTCACTACAACACACACAGACTCACTCTCCCACTGTAAGTCACGGTGTTAATGGTGAGTTCCTCTAGAAGGGCCAAGGTCAAGGCGCCGCCGGCAACCAGAACCAGCCGGGCAACAACAGCAAGCCTGAGGAGACCAAGCCCGAGGAGCAGCAGCAGTCTTCCCTAGACCAAAAGACGGAAGAGCAGAAGCCCGAAGGTACCACACCGGTCGGGGAATTCGGTAACCCCGCAGAAGGCGAGGGTGCCCCCACCAACACCGATGAGAAGAAGGCAGAAGACAGCAAGCCCGGAGACGCGGCCGCCAAGACGGACGACAAGACTCAATCGCAACAAGAAGATGAGAAGAAGCCCGAAGATGCTGTGGCCGACACGCAATCAAAAGACAAGAAGCCCGAGACGGAAGAGCAAAAGCCCGTAGGTCAAGAGACCACGGACAAGAAGCAAGCCTCAGCAAACCAGGCCGGCGTCGAAGACGAAGCGGAGCCAGAGTCCGTCGTCGACAACGACAAGAAGCCCGCAACAGGCAAGGAGCAGGAGCAGGCAGAGCCCGCAAAGGTACGCTCCCGCGACTCTGGCCGCACAGAACGAGAAGCTGACCTCGAGGAGCCCACTGAACTCCAGGACGGCGAGGAAGAACACGCTGAGGGCGAAGAGGGAGCCGAGGGCGAGTACTACGACGACGACGAGTTTGAAGAAGGCGAGGACGGCGAGGTCTACGACGACGACGAGTACTACTCTGGCGACTCGCAAGACGAAGGGGAGTACGACGACGATGAGGACTACGACTCCCAAGAGGAGGAAGAGGACGACGGCGGCAACTACACCACCGCGCAAAAGGGCGGCAACCAGAACCAGCAGATGATGCAGCGCCAGCGCCAGCAGCAGATGCAGCAGCAGCAACAACAGCAGATGATGCAGCAACAGCAGCAGCAGCAGCAGATGCAGGGCGGCGGCGGAGGTGCGGGCAAGAACCCGCTCAAGCTGAGGCTTGACCTGAACTTGGATATTGAGATTACGCTCAAGGCCAAGATTCACGGTGATTTGACGCTGGCATTGCTGTGAGTATTCCCTCTTTTCCCTCTGTTCACGATTGATTGTGTTTTTTTTCCCGGATCTTTTCTACTCTCTTCTTGTTGGTCAATGCTTTGTTTCCCCAAATTTGCAACGGTGTCCGCGATTCAGATTTTCTGCATTTGCTGCCCACTGCGCTTCTACCTTCTGTTGAACTTTGTCATGTAACGCGATCACCGTTTTCTGTGTGGGGACCGATTATCGGGCCTCGCTGGGGGGGCAGTGTTCGCAGCGGCGAGTCAGTGAGAATACTCTCAAGACTCTCAAGTCCAGTCTCCGTTGTTTTTCCTTTGTCTTTGCGAGAGCTGGCAAATTGTGGGAGAGGATAGGAAACGGTTGTTCCCTATCCCACACACACACACACACACACACAAAATCTTTTTGAGCCGAGGTTGGTGTGGTGCATCTCGGCCGGCGGGGCAGTAGCACGAAAGTTCGCGCGCAGTCCGTCGACCGTTTTTTCTTCGATGCGCCCATCCGTACCCTCTCGGCCAACAGACCCGAGCGAAAGCGGTTTAGGAGAGACTGACCGCGACGGTTTCTCCCTAGATCAATGTAAAAGCATGTCGACAACACCGCAGACCCGAAATCAACAAGGGCCGCTCAACGCTCTGGGCATTCTCTTTACGTCATCTTTGCGTTCGGAAAAGATTCGAATTCCTTGTCCACAAGGCTAACTGCATAGCGACATGATGTAGAGATGGGTAATTGCGTCCACCACGACAAGCACTCCCCCTGCTCTTCGACAGCAGAAGCGGGAGTGTCCAGCATCGAAATCAGTCATTACGATCGAAATGTTTAAAATACCACAAATTTAACGGCATAAAGGCGAAAAACTTTTCTGCAGAGGGAGAGGCGTAAGTGGGTATAGGGATTTTTGTTAACGAGTTCTCTTTGTTCATTCTTGCAGAACGCGAGACCGCTTCATGCGTATTTGCTTGCTAGTCTCCGTTCAGAAGACGGTGTTGTTGTTTTTGGATGGGGAAGTGTCTTGTCGGTGTGCCAATACGTGTTCCACAGCGAATCGAGCTTGTCAGACTTAGCGGCGGATACGATCTAGTCCCCAGTGTAATTTTAGCCGCCGAAATGAGATTTTTATGAACCCACGTTGTGACAGGCGTTCGTCGTTTTCTGTCCAAGTTCCATATTTTGATTTACTAAACCAACCGTCCGGATATGCAGATTGTTGGAATTTCTATTACGGACTCAAGCGGTTGGCCTGAGAGTCTGCATCGACTGTATCAGGTATTCTTCTAAACTTCGCTGTCAAGTTTCAAACGGTTGGGCGAGTCTTTGTTCTCATTATCGTGAACGGTGCAGGCTGTCTTGACTAGCAGGGGCCGTGAGCCAATCCGGCGACCTGCAGTCTGGCGAGTCTCGTATCATGCCCGTGGACGAATATGCGAGGATTCGCACCTGTCGGTCATGGTGAGAGAGCGCCAGTCACCGGTGGATATCCTCACGGTGTGGCTGGTGAGGTCCCGGTCAATATGCGGTGCTCGTACCCGATGCGTGCGCTCCTGCATCATGGACATCACGAGGATGGCAAACCGCGCCTAACCAATGCCCCATTCACGGTACCCGATCCGCGAAGTCGGCCGAGTGCAGCATCACAATGCAGTAAGAGTGAAGTGCCAATGCGGTCGAGGTCCAATGATGAAACATTTCAGCCTCATCAGGTGTCCACCGGGCGGAAGCAGGTGCAGGGGGAAAAACCTGTTTTTTGCAAGTTCCTCACGATGTTGACAGCGGGCGATCGCAGGCCACCCCCTCCCCAGGGGAACGGAAGAGGCACCGCGGCTGGGCCAGAAGGACGGTACTCCTGTACTCAACGGATGACCCGCAATGATCTAGACCGATGGCAGAGATTCTGCTCCATATTTTTGAGTCGTGTCCCGTACCGCTTTTCGCCGCCGCCGCGTCGTACCCGCGGGATCGATCATATTTGGGCACGTTATGGCGGGAGGCCGAGCTTGGCGGGAAGAGTGGTGGTCAGGTGGGTGCAGCTCCAAAAGGCCATACTGGTAAGGTAGACTCTGTTCGGACGACGTCTGGTAAGACAACCGTGCCAGAACAATGGGATTGTGTGACCGGTCAAAGTCGCAAGCGTTGAGCGACTTTGATTAGCGTTATGTGCCCGTCGTTGCACAAACGATGTCGTTAACCGACCTCCTTTCCGACTGAAGCGAAAGAGGCTGCCCAGAGGTGAGATCATCGCTGGAGCTATGACCAAACTGCCCGCTCGAAACGGACAATGAGTGACGGGAGAGAGATTGCGCTGGGGAGGGGGGAAGCTCTGTTGACAGGGGACGCGTGGCATACCCGAGACGTCCGGAGGAAAAGCGCCGAAGGTGAATGGCATCTTTTTTGCGTGGTCGTCCAACCATCCAGCCGTCTGTGCCGTCGTCAGGGGGTGAGAACGGAGTCGCAAGGGGCGGTTGGCCCATGCAACGTCAGGAGCGGGGCAGCTGCGGGGAACAGTGTGGCGCCGACGCTAGGAAAGCAGCCACATTTGGCGAAACGGCGGGTGATCTGCGAGAAAACGGTGGAAAAGGCTCCGTTATCAACTGTGTCTCCGTGTTTCGTCCACGATAAGTGTAGGGGTAATGCCGTTATTGCAGTCGGATCCAGGATGACAGAAGACTTCTCCACCAGAGAGTTCAGGCCGGCAGGCAGACAGATGGCTGAGTGTGGCGCTGGAACGTTTGTCCTCTGGTGGTGGTGGTGGTGGTGGTGGTGGTGCTGTGGTGGAAGAGCTTGTAACACGGAACTCACAAATTCGAACTAGGCGGCGTTGAGGGTTTCTATGCTAAGTTTTGCCCTCTATCTTTGCCGTTGTCGTTGAAGGAACGGATCGCTGGCCGTTTCGAGCTGAGGTGATGTTGGCGTCGAGGTCGTATTCGCACAGAAGTCGAACATGCGCATTCTGGAAACGCATGTTGTCGTCGGTAAGGCTATTCGCGGTAGATGGGATTTCAACTGTAACACCCGGGCCGCATAGAGTTTGCACCACGCACGGAAATACAACGTCGGATCGCAGTGGTGGTAGATCGGGGGCGGTTGTGAGAGTTGAGTGTGACAGGGAGAGGGAGAGAGACGGGAGGGACGTGCGTCATTGAGACGGGAAAACGGCAGCCGATGGCCCTCATGTCTCCGGCAAGGGATAAACTGCGATCCCGAGCCCAGGGACAACCTGAGGTGGAAGGAAGACACCAGCTGATAAGATAAGAGTATCAAACTGTGGCTAAGGATCTGTGGCTGACGTGGATGTGGTAGAAGCGGTGTTGTGGCTGGACCTTACCTTATCGCGGGGCTGCGTGTGGGGCAACGACGCATGAATGGGAGCATGAAGCATGATGGTCCCAAGCAACCCAGACAAACAAACAGCCCGTTGCGAGATTGGACGACCCAGGACGTGTTGACCGCGACCGCCAAACAAAGCAACAAACAACCACGCGTTTAAGCTATATCGCAGCTATTATCACATCACTCCTGACCCGGACAAAAGCTTCATTTTCGCATCAGCGTCCAAATTCCAGCAACACCCATCACCAACATCACCAACATCACCTTTAATCACAATGCCCGACCTCAACTCTATTCCGGCCTCACCACATCCTCTTAGCGCCTCACGGCGCTCTTCCTCTCACCAGATGCCGCCTCCTCCACTTCCAGCGCAATCTTCCGACTCCTCGTCCCTCAACATCCTTCCATCGAATCAGAACACGGTCAATCATCCACCATCCAACCCGCCCGTAGGATCTCCACCGATGGCTCCGGCAGTAGCAGCCTCGCCTCCAGCCTTTCCCGAACCCTCCGTCTCTGGCCCAGGCCCGATCCGTCACCCGCGACCCATCACCGCGTCCGACCTTCACATGCAGTTGGAAAAAGAGCAAGAGGCAGTGGTACGTCAGGCAGACTTACACGATCAAGAAGACCAAAAGCTAACCATGAGGGATAGGTGAACCGCCTTACACGAGAGCTCCAACTTCTGCGAACAGCGCAGAACGCCTCTGTGGCATCAAACGCCTCCTCCACATCAGCTTCCAACACGACCGAAGCCCCCGACACTCACCTCCTCTCCGGCGCCGCCTTCTCCACCCCCGCCGTCCCGTCCAACAGCTCCCGCCGGCACCACCGCACCGCCTCCAACGCCAGCACCCGAAGCCAGACCGCCGTCGCGGGCTCAGCCGCCGCATCCACCACATCCATCCCCATCGCCCGGCCCTCGCACCCCGGCCGCCAAGACAGCGTTGCCTCACGCCACAGCCTATCGTCCTCGCCGGCGCCGTCGCAGCACTACCTAGACCCGACCAGCACTAGCGGTCTGACATACTTCCAGCAGCAGCGCCTGCCGCAGCAGCATACCGGTGGCACCTCAGTCGCCGCCACGCCCGGCGGCAGCGAGGCGCAGCTCTCGCCTGGTCTGATGCCCACGACGTCGCGGTACGAGGAGACGGCGTTGCACCGACAGGAATTAGAGAAGGCCAAGCAGGAGAACGAGGTGCTGAAGCAGAGGATCCGAGATCTGGAGAAGATGGTCAGGGAGAAGACCGCCGCCGCTGGAAGGGACCGTAGCGAGAGTACGAGCAGTGCTACCGCTGCGGCTGCGGCTGTGGCGGATGCTACCAGTGTCGGCGTCACTACCGGCGGGGCTGGTATAGCCGGCTCCAACAGACGTCCCGAAGGCGAGAGGGAGCGGTCTTTGACGGCCATGAGCATCGCGAGCAGCGTTGCTGTTGGCGTGCCTGACGAGGAGGTGCAGGTTGGTGAGAGTGCGGCGAGCTCTGGCGTGAAGCCCTGAGACCCGTCGACGGTGGAGGCGGATGTTTCCTTGTTCAAGACATTGCTAGCGATGAGATTATTGTGAATGAATCATGGGTCACGACAACACAGAGAACGGCGTTTAGGAATTGCAGATGAGGGAACTTGCCCTTACAAAGGGGCGAACCCAGGTCACGACTTTTCATGGTAATAGACATTGAACGATCATTGAACGATCACAAATCATGAGCTTGCATTATTGCAGAAGCATTTTAGTCTGTGGTGTCAATCTCTTGTTCCTAAATCAATTGAAATGAAATTTAAAGAAATAAAATTGAGCTCTAAAGGAAGACGATTTTGACAAGATTTAAAAGTACTGGCCTTAGTCGAGGCGTCAAAAGAAACCCGAGTCTCATGAATTCGCTTTCTAATGCAACGTCTCTTTTTCTTGTACCAGAGATAAGGCTATACAATCATCATCTAAAGAGAACCGGAAAGAAATCAATGCAATTCGCAGTCACACCTGAGACTTCTGAAATTTTCTTGGAAATCTCAAAGAGCCACACGATCCGCCTCGTCAACTTGCGGTTTCGCAATACCCACTGCTGTGCCTATTGATCCATTGCGACTCCAGGACCTTGCTTCAAGAAGATGTCTTGAGCATATATCACGTTTTCTGGAGAGTCAACTCGATCTTGGACGATCCACAAACGAAAGGTTCGGGGCCATGCCGCCATAATGGGAGTCATCTTGATGATGCCACGTAGCCAAGTTGATGAACGGCTCTCGCTCCTTTGAGCCCGGACCCTTAGCTTTGAAATAACCTGTTTTGAGGTCATTGGATTGCGATTATTTCTGAGAGTCAATCAGTGACTCGAAGCAAGACTTAGTATCGGTTTACGAGGGGAGTTCTCAACATATCACAAGTGTTTATAACTCATAGCAACCAACACACAACACCATGTTTATGAGAAATTTCTTATTGATTCGTCATCTCCATCTTTGTCTTAAGGGCGTTGTCTCGGCATCATTGCAAGACTTTTAGTTCCTCCAGTGTGATGCAATCCCCAGTATTCAGATAGGTCGTATAACCGGAAAGAAGAAAGGCTATCTTCCTCTCCTTCAAGAAACGATCCCCATCTAATTCCAAAGATCACACTGGCACTCATTACCAGACCAAAACTCAAGGCGAGTAAACTTGCACTTGGGCAAGGTCCCGCGCTTGCAGCAGTGGTTGCAATCCGAATCCACTTGGCACGTCAAGCCCTTCCAGTTCTCAGTGCAGGGCTTACACTCGCACATACCCTTCTCACTGCACAGCAGGTTCCCCTTACCAGCGCAGTCGAGCGCGCTCGAGTCGCAGTCCCGGCTGCCACTGCACATGAAGGAGCGGCAGCGGCACGTGTCTTTCTCGCAGACGGAGACTTCGTACTCTGTGCACCCGATCGTGGTGCACTCCTTGTGCGCGGTACACTTGTCGCCCTCGGCGAAACGGCGGGGAGGCTTCTCGGCGGCGCAGGCGCAGACGTTGGCTTTCTTGTCGAGGGGGCCGTCGGGGATGGTGCAGGACTTGTAGGGCTTGTCCTCGAAGCAGCGGATCGTGGAGCAGTCGTCGTGCGAGGCGCAGCCGACGCCTTCGGACTGGTAGTAGTCGCACTGGCAGCCGCCTGAGAGGCCGACGCCGCCGGTGTCGTCTGAGGTAGGCTTGATGCACTTGCCGCGGCGGTTCTTGGTGCCGTCGCAGGGGAGGCCGTCGCAGTGGGAGTCGACTGTGCAGAAGGCGCCTGACTTGAGGGCGAGGGCTTCGCATTGGCAGATGGAGTCTACTCCGAGGAAGTCGATGAGCGGGCGACAGGTGGAGAAGTGGTTTGCGTCGCATTTCAGGTGTTCGCAGTCTGCTGCCGCGGCGCAGGGCTCGAAGAGCTTAGGGCGGTTGACGCAGCGGCAGGTTGGCTTGGGATTCGCGTTATTTGTGATGCAAGCGTATGTCTGGTTGCCTCCACAGGGGAGGGAGGAGCAGTCTTGGGTCGTGTTGCAGCCGATGATGAAGGTCTGGGAGGGGTCCCAGGCCGAGAGAGTGACGGTGAACAACGCGGAGGCGGTGGAAGAAGAACCGTTCTTGGTGGCTGTGGGGATTAACCAGTCGTCATCACCCGTCCAGGAGGTGCTTGAGGCAGAACCGTTGGAAGAGATGCTGCTTGTAGGGGAGCCTGTGGACAATGTGATGAGGTTTGTTGGAGACGTGTAGTTCACAGGCAACGCGGTGTTGGTGTATATCCCAGGCACCGGAGTTGCAGGAGTCTTGGTGTAGCTGAGACTCTCGGAAAGGACACATCGACAGGCACCATACAAACAGGCACCAAACCGGGGTTGAGGGCACGCAAGAGAGCCGCACTCGGTGTCGGTGGTACAAGCCTGCGTAGGGCGCGGGAGCACGGAGGCGGCGGAAGCGGCAACGGAGGACGCGGAAGCGGCAGCTGACGACGAGTTATGCGCCAACAAACAGGCCTCAACCTCACCACCTTCATCTTCCTGACGACGGTGCTTCGATGGGGGCGGAGGCGGAGGCGGCTTGGTGGATCCGCCTGCGATGATAATCTTGTTGCCGGAACCGCACCACGTCTTCTCAAAGATGACGTGCTTCTCGAACCGGATGCGCAGCTTCCTCTCCGAGTACTTCATGCCCTCCTCAATGTGCGAGGGGTGATACTGCCAGTTGACGAGGCCGTACTCGGGCGGCATGTTGGGGTTCCTCTGCGCCATGTCCGGGCGTGGCGCGTACGTGATGATCTTGACAAAGTCCTTGTCGTTGATGCCCAGCTTCTGCCTCAAGATGTTTTGAATCTGCTCAACCTGCCAGTTGTATGCCGTTCGCATCGCCGAGTCCTGATACTGCAAAGAAGGGCCCCTCATGTCCTTGTGAGCCCGGGTGATGATGCCGGCCCAGAGCCACGTCTTGGTCTTGGCGTCAAAGGGCTCGCCCGAGTTCTTTGCCGCGAACTCGGCGACGCCCGGATTGCGCGTGGGGACTTTGCCTTCCTTGAGCTGCCTGAAGGAGCCGCGATTGTTGCCCCATGAGAGGAAGTCCACGACGCCTTCGCCAAAGTACTCGATCTGCGACTTTGGGTAGAACTTGGCCCACTCAGTCGTGTCCTCGCTGCCAAACTTCTCGCCCAGGCTGAAGGTGGGAATCTCCCACATGTGGCTGGTCCAGACGCCGGCCGGGGACGCGACGACGACGACGGTGCAGCCCCAGATGGGCCCCGAGCCGCCAAAGCGCGGCCGGTTCGTGTATGTGCCGTCAACCTCTTGGTTGAATCTGATCATGGAGCTCGTGGACCAGATCTCGGGGACGTTGGTGATGCCGCCGTAGCCTGGGCCTCGCTCGTCGACGGCGTGGCGCATGCGAGTGTACCACCACCGTTCGCCGCCGAGGGAGTCCTCGGGCTCGATCATGGTCTCTGATTCGAGATCGATTTCCGCCTGGATCGGGCCCTTGTTGGGGTCGTTGGATGGGGGTGCGCGGGACTTGAGGCGTGAAGGACCCTCCAGAGGCGGGGGAGGGAACTTCTTGTAGTCGCACACGCTCAGCTTGGGAGAGCCGAGACCGCAGGCGATCATGCGCGGGCAGGTTCCTTCATCTTGTCTGATCTTGAGCTTCTTCGCGGGAGGACGGGGAGTGCCACTGTCGGAAGGGCGAGGAGTGTCTTCGTTGTCAGAAGGGGGGGAAGAGTTGTTATCAGAAGGACGAGTCGTATCCTGGTTCGGATCGCGAGGGGGACTCGGTCTGATGTCGAACCGGACGGGGGCCTCCGGCTGCGTCACAAGTCCGTCGCCGCACCAGGCATCGCGGTGGATGATACTCTTTTCGAAGCGGACCACGAGCTCCTTCTTGCCGCTGGGGCCCTTGGGCGTGTACTGCCAGCTGAGGAGGCCGTCCCAGGGGTTCGAGGCGCGACGGTCGGCCGGGGGTGTGGCGCGGCCCAAATCGTACTGGAAGTCCTTGTCGAGCACTTCTTTGGGTTCGTACCCGTAGATGGTGATGTACTTTTTGTCAATCTTGCACTTCTCGGTGAGAATCGACATGATTAGGGAGTTTTGGTGGGCGTAGTACATCTTGCCCGTCGTCTCGATGGGAACGAACATGATCGTGCGGAAGAATTGGTAGTTGTCACCGTAGAGGGGACCGCCGGGGAGGTTCATCGGGCACAGCGCGGGATATTCCTTCTGCTTGGGCGTGTCGAGCGAGCCATATTGGATGAAGCGGTTGACGTTCTGCTCAAAGTAGTAAGGCTCTCTGTAGCCCTTGTCGACTTTGAAGTGCTTCTCTTCATCAGGGGGAATGCTGAAGTTGGGAATCTCCCATAGGTGGTTGGCGTAGACGCCCTCGGGGGAAATGGAGGCGATGATGGTGCAGCCCCAGACGGGACCGGCGCCGCCGCCGTGGGGGGTGGGGCCGAAAGCTTCCCAGGAGGCCGAGGAGTCGTGTCCCGTCTTGCTTCCCATGGCCAGGCCGGGACCGTAGTACTTTGCGACGCGGCGCATCTTCTCCCACCACTCGTATTCGCCTTCGTGCCATTCTTCGGGCTCGGAAATGGTCTCGGTAAGAATGTCCTCGTCCCACCAGCCCTGCCGAGCCTCCAGCTTGTTATTGTTGTCCTGGCATGAAAGGCACTTTCCGGCCATGCAACCGGCGGTGGGCTTAGGCTTCTTGGTAGTGTAAGTGGTTGTCGTGGTGGTCTCGATGCTGGTGCAGAGCTGCGTGGTTCGGCAGGTGGCTGTCGCGCAGCTGGTGGTGAAGCTCCTCGTTCCCTGACTTCGAATCTGCGAGACGACGCATGGCTGAGTGCAGTGAGGGGCAATGGTGTATGTCTGGGTGCAGGATGAGGTTGAGGTGGAGGTGGAGGTCTCCTTCTCGGACTGGGAGGGCTCGGGTTCATCGGGCTCTGTGTCCCCCGCTGGTTTATTGGTGCCGAAACCAATCTCCATGCCATGACCAAGGATGTTGCGTGCTTTGTCGAGGATGTCGAGACCGAGATCGATTCTGAAGGCGAAGAGGGAGTTCTCGTCATTGTCATCGCTTGTATGTCCCCGGCCGTCGTCATCGCTGCCATGGCCGTCGTCGCCTCCATGATCATCGTCTCCTCCATGATCATCATCATCACCGCCATGGTCGTCATCTCCTCCATCATCATCATCGTCGCCGCCATCGTCGTCATCTCCGCCGTGATCATCATCTCCATCATCATCGTCATCATCACCGTCATGATCATCTTCGTCATCACCACCATGGTCGCCGTCATCATCATCATCTCCGCCGCCTCCTCCGTGTCCAGGATCGCCAGGCTTGGCCACTCCCTTTGTAGAGGTGTGTTCAGGAAGTGTAACTCCATTCGCCGAGGACGGGGGCTTCTCAGGCTTCTCAGGCCAGGGATATCCGAGGGGATTGGCCGAGGCAGCAGGCAAGCAGATCTCATCAGGTACAAGACAATTTGGATTGCAGAGATCAAGCGAGATGCACCGCCAGGCAGGGAAGCCGGTTGTAGTGACGTCTCCATTGATGGTGGTCCGGGTTGGGACATCGATGGACAGCCAGGTAACACTGGTGGTTTTTAAGCTTCCATCTGTCTTAGTTCCAGCCAGAGGCTCGACGGTGATGGTGCCGAAAGGCGGTACATAAGCAGGGTTGGAGGTCTCTGTGGGCCGGGAAGTGGTCGAGACAGCAGAAGCCTTGCTCGATGTCTTCTCTGATCCGGTTGTAGCCACGGACGAGTTTGTTTGGGGTGGAAGAGTGCTCGATGCAATGGGCGAGGCAGGGGGAACGGTGGTGCTAACTGGGGCAGGAGTTGGGGTTCCCGAACCGATCACAGAGGATGAGGAGACTAAAGGCTTGGAGTGAACAGACGACTTTGAGACGCTCAGAGGGACTGAACTGTTGGCAGATTGAAAGCCACCAGAGTTGAGAGTCGACATGGTAGATCTCGAAGGGGCTGAGGTATTGGCAGAGAGGTGGCCGCCGGATCTGAGGGTAGTCATGGTGGAGTTGAGCCAGATGGGAGTGCCGCCGGTCCTGATCGTCGAAGGCAGAGAGCTCGTGGTTGAATTCTTCCAGATGAAAGCCTGAGATGTGAACGTTCCACCAACACCGCTGCCCGGTCCAGTCCAGAAGATGCCAGACGCCGTAGTCATATGCTGGACACCCGTCACATTGTGACTAGGGAACGAGTGAGACCAAGATGACGAGACAATGCCGGTGCCATTGATCGAAGTTGTAAAGTTTCGGACAGACGAGGCGATGCTGCTGAAGAAGCTGCTGATAGCAGAAGAATCGGACAGCGTGGGAGAGGGAGCGGTGACAATCAGGCCATCAGACGTCGTGGAATCGTAGAGAGTGTAGACCTCAGTGTACGTGGTAGGGACCCAGGTGGTCTTTCCACAGGCACAAGAGCAGACAGATGAAGGTCCATTGTCGAACTTGAGGGTGTTGTTACCGGGCGTGAAGTTCTCACAAGCACACTCGAGAGCAGTGGTGACGGTCGGGACAGAATCTGCAAATATTGTCAGCCATCATTGATCGTCAAGAGCGAGAACCTTCGGAATGATCAAAGGGAAATCATGAACTAATTGATGAAACTTACGGGCGAGAGTAAGGGCGAGCACCTGGAATAGCAACAAAGCCCAAAGGACTCTGGGAGCCCAATGAAGCCGGGAGGCGGCCATCCTAACTGTAGAAGTCGTTAAATAAATATCAGCAAAGAATTGAGCTCAAGAAGAACATACTGGCAGTGGGATTGATAGAAAATTGACGATTGTCAGAGGATGGAGGTGAGGTTTGGGGGGATTTCGTAGATCGCAAGTGTTTGGCAAGTCGCGATGGGTTGGGATGGCGTTAAGGTGGAGAGGGGAGAAGGAGGTAAGAGAGTAAGAATAGGAGAAAGAGGCCACGCTGAATTTTCTCCAACTTGATTATTTTGTGAGAAAAGTTCGAGGACTCGGCTAAGACGAATACAAAGGATGTGGTGGATGAATATTCCACAGACCCGTTCCTCAGTCGAGGAAGGAGCTCAAGAGACAAGGTGAATTTGAGCATGGTAATTCACCTTTCTTTCACCGCCTTCATCCATATCGTGTAATCAAAGGAGACCACCATGACCGGAAGGTGAGAATTCAGCAAGGCCAATGTTTCTGGACTTCTATTGGTGCTCTTTATGTTCTATCACAGATAGAAAAGGTCTGCATATCTCTGGCAGATGGCCCATAGCTTGCAACATGACCTTCATCCTTTTGGTTCTTCTGCTTTCCAGCCTGGGTGCCCTCGAAGAGACATTATACGACATGGTATTATGATGATAAAGACTTGTCATGGAAGGTAGTTCAAAATGAATACATGCCATAAGTTCATTGTGATCATGAGCTTCTACGCATTCTATTTGGCCCCGAAGTCGAGCTACCAGATAAGCCGTTTCACCACACGTGAGTGCGGCAAAGATAAACAGACTACTCGGCATAGGCTGATGTATGTTACTACCATTCATGTGTCTCATTGCCTTTGATTCAACAAACCTGCACCAGACGATTCACTTGGAATTCCTTTGATCGGAATCGCTATCACTGTTGGACAGGTCGTGGTCAGGCCAATTTGTACTACGCAGCTTCATTGCTCTTGCGTTCTAACGTTTGGCATCTCATGATAAATTCCAACTCAATGGAAAATGTCCATGGTATCCTCAAAACCTGTGTTTCATGAAGATCCCAATAAGAGCTTTACATATACTAATACGAAAACCTCGTAACTGAATCAGCGCAAAGGTCTCTACCAACTCAAATTCTACTCTTATCCCTTGTATCCTTAACAACATCAAATCCAGTCCACCCATCCAACTTCTCCCGAATCTCTTTGGCATACTGCGGAATCCCACCCGCAAAATTAACCTGCTCAAACGCCTTACCTGGCATCGACCCACCCATATACGTCGACCGCGTCGTCGGGAATAAGCTCGCGTCGCTCAACTCGTTGATCCGCTGCTTCCACGCCTTGGTCGCGTCCGCGGTCGGATTGACGTACTTGATGCTCTCCCGCTCAATCTTGCGGATGCAGTCCGCGATCCAGCGGCCCTGAACCTCGACCGTTGAGGGCCCATTGCTAAGCAGCGTGGGACCGTGGGGGCCGTACATGTGGAACATGTTGGGGTAGCCGCTGACGGTGGTGCCGAGGTAGGTGTTTGCCGCGGCCTTCCATTCGTCTTGGAGGTAGGTGTCGTTGATGCTCTTTAGGCCCATGTTTGTCATGCCTCCGGTGGTGATGTCCTGGGAAGTTTCGTGTTAGCTTTTTGGCGAGTCCGCAACGTTACATACGCAGGGCAGAGATATGGCACTCAGGTGCTTCGTCGTATGCTTTGTCGAGTCCGACGAGACTGGTACAAGACCTCCCCCTTGCTCCGTAAATGAAAGAGAAGAAGACTTACAAAACCAGTGGCAATGGCAACCACATCAAAGTCGTACGTCGTCCCATCCTTCAACCTGATACCCGTCTCTGTGAAGCTGTCAATCTCATTCTTGCTGATGTCGACAACGTCCACATTCGCCTTGTTGAACTGCTCATAGTAGTTCTGCTCCAAGCAAGGCCTCTTGACGCCAAAGAAGTGCGGCATCTTATCAACCTTGGGCGCCAAAATATCCCTCTTCCTTGCATCCCCAATCCGGGTCCGCACATTCCTCGCCCAAAAGTCGTACGCCTCCTTATTCGCATCCGCACTGAACAACATATCCTTGTAATTACCCAACCAGAACCGGAACCCGCCGTGCTCCCACAGCTGCCGATAGAACGCCTCCCGCTCTTCAGGCGAGTCGTCAAAGGTGTTGCGCTCCACCATGCCGTAGAAGAAGCCGCCGAAGCACTTCTCGCGCAGCTGGTAGAGGCGCGGGTACCACTCCTTGGAGATGTTCTGCTCCTGCGCCGTGAGGTTGCGCTTGCCCATCGGCACCGCGAGGTTTGGCGTTCGCTGGAAGACTTTGAGCTCGCCGCTCTCGCCGACGGCTTTGCCCCATTCCTGGGAGATTTGGACGCCCGAGGCGCCGGTGCCGATGACGGCGCAGCGCTTGCCGCGGACGGGGACGTCTTCTTCGGGCCAGAAGGAGGAGTGGTGCACTACGCCTTTGAACTTTTCGACGCCGGGCCAGTTGGGGATGTAGCGTTTTGAGGCCTAGTTTTTTGGTGGTGAGTTTTATGGCAGGATGAGGAGTGAGAGGGGTTTGTTGACTTACGAAGCCGGCTGCGACGACAAAGTACTTGCTCTTTGCCAGGCGGCCGTCGGCAGTCTTTACGTGCCATTTGCCTTCGGCTGGCTGAAACTGGGCGCCGGTGACTACGGTATCGAATGAGCAGTCTTTGGAGAGATCCAAGACCTGCGTGACTTATGTCTTAGCTTTTGTTCAAGTGTACCCCTTGAAATTATCTTGTGTGGACCGACCTTGTCAACGTGATCAAAGTACTGACGAAGTTCCTGGTAGTTAGGGTAGTTGGTCGACCAAGTCCAGTCCTTGAACACCTCGGGCCACGAGAACTCATACTCTGGAACCTCAGAGTCAACCCGGGCACCGGGGTAGCGGTTCCATCGCCAGGTTCCTCCAAAAGAGGTTCCGGCTTCGTAGATGACGGCCCGCAGGCCCATCTCCCGGAGAGTCTTTAGCATGAAAACTCCGCCTTTGACAATCATGTTAGTTTGGAGGGTGAATACTAAGCTTTGTGGTTTCGATAACTCACCGAATCCACCGCCTACGATGAGAACATCTACATCGAGGTTGTCGGCGTAGGGCCCGTCCGTCCGACGACGCTTGGCATAGTCCGTCAGATCAGTCGCAAACTTCTTTTGCTGGGTAGCTGTAATAGTTGAAGCCATGCCGGCAACTTGCAGCACTATATTCTCAAAAGTAGATTTCAAAGGATGATGATAATGATATGAAGGGAGTTGAAGCACGATGAATACTGTTCTTTCGTCCAATTTCTACAGATTGCACACAGAGTCGAGGGAGTTCAATGCTTCTTATAGCCTCGTGTGACGACATATTGAAGTCTACCTCATCCAGTTCGTTTCGCATGAGACGTGTTGCTTTACGTGACATCAGACGACTGCAACGGGTATCCCCAGAGCATCCCCAGAGCACCCCCATGGGGACACTGTACTCCAACATCACGTACGGATACCTTGGAAGAGGCAACCGCAGTTACATTCTCCGCACCAACCTCTGCCCGCATTCGTGGCATTGCATCGATATCCCCATCAGAAGATGCTGGTGTCGCCCGTAGAGGCCGCAGACTCCGAGGCCCCCAGAGCAATGGAACGTTGGACGCATAAGGCCGCAGCAGATAGATGTTCTGTATCCCGCATCACCCGGCGAGGTTGTACTCACCTCAGACATGCAGCAAAACACGTCGAAATCGCATATCTTTTGCCTCAAACACCAGCCTCGCCGTGCACGTCTGCATCCCCGCAGCACATCGAAGGAGGAGAAGGCTCGAGAGGAGGAGCCGCTGCGGATCCGCCCTGCAGGCAGGCGATGGGCGGATACTGAAATGGAAGAGGATTCAAACAAAACGGGATGTCACAGTGAAATGCGGAGAGCCGCTGCGGCCGTGGAGCGGATCCGCAACTGCCGTGACACTACTGTTCTACAACCGCTTTGCGGGGAAGGCCAAACCTTCAGGTTCGCATCGTGGGGAGGGAGGGATGGTCCATGTCTTGAGACGAATCAAACTTGGGGAAGTTGATCTGCCCCAAGACCGGAATAGGTGCCGCTCAAAGGTCTGAACCACTGGTGCTTTTTCAGCTATTCTCGGCAAGACTCAAGCGTGTGTGTGTGTGTGTGTGTGTTCGTGGTGGGCCGAGGTTGGACGCGGTTCAAATGACTAAAGTACTAAGGTTTGCATCCATTTCGTCAACCTGCGTGCGTTGCGTTCTTCTTTGGGCCTGCAGCTGAGACGATGCGTCCCCGTATTTAATGCTACCGCACCGACATGTCTGCTTGGAAAAGGATAGGCGCAGATTGCCAAGAAGAAGCTCGGCCGAATTGATTATCTTTGCGATCTTCTCATGTGTCGGTTGTGAAATCTGAACTCACTCACTCACACACACCTCCTTCCTCACATGAGCCGTTCATCTCATTTATCTCTACACGCAATCTCACTCACACTATAGAAAACTCACATTCAACTCAAAATCTCACACTCACACTCAAAATGCCTCTCTCATCACAAGCAGTCAACGAAATCAAAGGCATCGTAGAAAATGCCGTCACAACCGACCCCACCGGGATCCCCGGAACCACGGTAGTCGTAATCGACCGCACCGGCACCGAACAATTCGCCCACGCCGCCGGCACCCGAGGCGTCGCCTCCTCGGAGCCCATGACCCTGGACAGCGTCTACTGGATCGCCTCGTGCACGAAAATGGTGGTCGGCATCGCGTGCATGCAGCTCGTCGAGAAGGGCCAGCTGAACCTCGACGACGCAGACCACCTGGAGAAGCTCTGCCCGGAGCTGGCTGACATCAAGGTCCTGACGCCCGAGGGCAAGCTCGTGGACAAGAAGCGCGGCATCACGCTCCGCATGCTGCTGACGCACACGGCCGGGTTCGGGTATACGTTCTTCAGCGGGCGGCTGCGCGATTGGAGTTTGCCGGCGGGGATTGACGAGTTCTCGGGGAGTGTGAGGGATATGGTGCAGCCTTTGTTGTTTCAGCCGGGCGAGGGCTGGGAGTACGGCGTAAGTGAAGCTTTGGAAGTGGACACACTATTGAGATCATGACCTCTAACTCGAATTCGTAGGTCGGTATTGACTGGGCTGGCATCGCGCTGGAGCGAGCCACGAACATGAGTCTGAACGACTACATCCAGGCCAACATTTGCCAGCCTTTGGGCCTGCACAACGTGAATATGATTCCAACGCCCTCGATGAAGGCGCAGTTGGCGTACATGCACCAGAAGAGGCCCGACGGCAAATTGGTCCACAGAGACCACCTACTCCATCGGCCATTGATCGTGCAATCGGAGGAAGAGATCCGCGCCTGCTTCAACAGCGGCGGCGCCGGCATATTTGCAAAGCCTCAAGAATACACCCGTACGTACCTTGTCTCTCTCGGAATCATGCCCGACTAGAAGATGACTAACTGAATGATTCTGCCATAGGCATCCTGGCAGTCTTCCTCAACGACGGAACCTGCCCCATCACCAAATCACAAATCCTCAAGAAGGAGACGGTCGACGAAATGTTCTCCAACCAAATCTCCAAATTCCCAGATTTTGCCCGGCAGGGCGTCCAGGATGCGAAACCGGAGCTGACCAACGGGATCCCGGAGCTCTACCCGATCCCGGGAAACCCGCCGCAGGGCTGGGGCCTGACGTTCATGATCACGGGCGGGCCGACGGGGCGCTCGAGCGGGACGGCGTGGTGGGCTGGGCTGCCGAACCTGTTTTGGTGGTGCGATCGGGAGAACGGGGTGGCCGGGATCGTGTGCTCGCAGATTCTGCCGTTTGGGGACGCTTCGGTCATGGGGCTTTGGGCGCAGGTTGAGGCTGCTGTGTATAAGGGGTTGAGTGCGTGATGTCTATGATGATGAACGATTCTCAGATTCTCGGTCTAAACACTGTGTTTCCGCGGGGTCTGGCGTCGTGCTCTGCCGATGAGGCTTGTTTCTAGTCGGAATTTCGGAAACAGATTTCCATGTATGGATGCTTTCCTATTGGCCCCCTTTCATCAGAATGAAGCTAGTAATATGTCAAAGAGGACTTTGAACCAATTCCATTGCCAGAGACTCCGTGCATGAGGGTTGTCTCGCTCGCCATTGGTTTACCTAAGTGGCTAGGTAGGATGCAACTGCAAGACGACCTCAAAGTGGGCTGATTTTCCCATGAGAAACCTCCTGACGGTTGAAGAATGCAGCCAGCGACATGGTAAGCTTCAAGAACGTCTAACCAAACCATTGGATCCTTTGAATCTGTGCCTCGTAAGGTTCACCGCAAGCAATGGAATCCGGGGTTGACAGCTCTCGCTTCCGGAGGATGGGGAACCCCCCTCCCTTTCTTTTCCCTTCCCCGGATCCCATCCCAACCCCGGTTCCCCTAGACCAGCCAACACCGGACTTGGCACCTGGCACACACCAGAGACTGAATCTCAACACAGAAGAAGAAGAGGATCTGCGGGGGGGAAACATGAACCAACTGGCAAACTCGCCGTATGCACCCCGCTTTCTTCTCCTTGCTGACGCAGGCGACACGCTAGAGAGCCACAGAGCCTAAGAGAGGCGAAAGAAGGGAAAGAAACGCGGGGTTTTGGCGACAGGGACCTCCCCGTGACGACGTCGTTTCGGATGGCCGGGGGATTTGACTGGTCACGAGTTTTGGAACTAGCGGGGATTTTTCTTTGTTGGGGGGGGAAAAAGAAACTGGAGACAGCTGGAGACCACACCCACCCCTTCTTTTCAGCTTCGTTGTCTCGAATCTCCGCCTCACAACCTGGCACAACCTCCACATTGAAATCTCATCTCACCTCACCTTGATACATACCCACCGAGTAGAGTGAGAAGAAAACCACGATAACCGACGATACGCGAACGCGATGAGGCGGCAGAATAGCAGCTGCGACCAATGTCGCAAGGGCAAGAGGGCCTGCGACGCCGGCGCCCTCAAGGATATCCAGCTGTGTCTGGATGCGGACCTTCAATGGGAGGTTGGTAGGTAGCACACAGAGTGAATTGAGCAAATGAGACAACGAAACACTCTGTCTTCAACCCCGGAACTAATCTTTTGAGGAACAGACTGGCAGAGCATCAACGGGCCGTGCTCAAACTGTTCAAAGACGCGCAAGTCGTGCACATTCAACTGGGCCCGGTCACAGCAGGCCCAGCTCCGGGTCCGGAGGCAGTCCGCCGAGAAGACCGCTGCCGCTGCCGCTGCCGGCGCCGCCTCCGCTTCCGCCGTGCCGAGTAGTCGGAAGAGAGTTAAGTCAACTCACAGCAAGAAGAATTACAACAACGAGAGCAATAGCAACAACGCCTCGGTATCGCCAGCATCGCAAGGTCCACCGGGTTTGAGTGAGGCCCAGCTCGCCGAGCTTCAGTCACTCATCCCGGATCACGTCGGCTCTCTCACCCACGACACGCCAAGCTCACATGCCTTTGGCGGAGGAGGAGCAGCAGTAGCAGCAGCAGCGAACGACTTTGGATTCCCTCAAGACCTATTCACGCTATCCCCCGCCGATGAGCACCTCGCATTCGACCCGTCCGCCGACGACGCCGCCTCGCTCCTGTTCCCGGGCCCCTCATCCCTCTCAGCGCCCAGCTGTCTATCGGATGAGCTACCCGGCTTCGACGACGCCGACCTCGTCTCCATGCACGGCGCCTCGACAATCAGCCTCAGCCCGGACTCGACCTCGTCCACCATGGGCATCAACCCGAATGCCCGCAAGAGGGCGTGGCAGCAAGCGCACGCCATGAACTATGCGCCACCCGGCGCCGGTGCCGGAATTTCAGAGTACTCGGCTACGCAGGCGATGATTGCGCGGACGAATCAGGCGCTGATGACGGATAACCTCATGAAGCTGTACCACGATGTCATGGAGGGCGCGCTCTCGTGCTGGCTGGTGGAGCAGAACTGTCCTTACATACTTACCCCCACACAGTTGGAGCGCTCGAGTCTCGTCGGCGATGCGCGAGGTCACGATCCAACGCAAATTCACCTTAACCTGCCCAACAGGATCTACCGCCGCGTCTTCAAGCTAGACAAATCCCTTGCCTCGCTGGGCCTAAAACCGCTCAGCGTATCCGAAGATCGGAAAGCCACGAAAGCGCTACATCTCGCCATCATGGCCTTCACGGCGCAGTGGGCGCAGGGAAGCCAACGGAGTCAAGCGCGGTACCAGAAACCAAACGGCTTTGGGGAATCCATACCGGGGACTGAACAGGAATTCGACACGGCGCTGCAGATATCGTTCTGGAACCAGGCGCAGCGGTGCCTGGACGACTGTGCGGGGGTGGACTCGTTCAAGGTGGCCATGGCGGAGCTCCTCTTTGGCCTGACGCAGAAGAACCAGGAGAGCGCGGAGGGGATCGGGTGGGAGTTGAACGAAGGGATGGTCGGTCATAATCAGCTGGGCTACGATTACACCAACGGAGACGGAAACGACTGGGAGACGCCGGGTACAAAGGAAAAGGTGCAGACGGCGCTAGACGAGGAAGGATACTCGCTCTACGTCGAGCGCGGCGCCCGGCGCCTACACGTCCTCAAGCGCAGGTCTGAAAACTTTGAGAGGAGGAAACGGGTAAAGGCACGCGGCGCGAGGAACGAAGCGGGATGGAATGGTGGTGGTGGCGGCGGCGGCGGCGGAGAGGATGCTCACGGCGAAGAAAAGGCGACAATGAAGATGCTCTTCTGGCTCGCCATCATGTTCGACACCCTATCCTCCGCCATCTCCGACAGACCGCCCGTCGTCTCGGACGAAGATAGCCGTGAGACGACAACGAAGAAGCAAGACTCGCCGCCCTGTAAAGACGAAGACGACGATACCACCACCCCAGCAGCGGCGGCGATCCCACCCCCAGATAGCTGGAACGACCAATTCATCATCAAACGCCACCAGAAACTCGCACCCCTACGCTGGCCCTGCCCCCACGACACATTCGAGCGCGAACTCCGCGACGCAGCGCCCGTCAAAGTCCTGCTCTTCCGCAAAATCACACGCATCCAAGCCCTCTCGTCCCGCGGCTCCGCCACACCCAAATCCATCGAGGACGCGATCCAAGACGGACTGGCGGTCTACCGCCACTGGAACATGATGTACGGCCCTCTGTTCCGGGACTGCATCGAGCACCACGACGCGCTCCCCTCCAAGATCCAGAGCTGGTACATTTGTCTCCTGGGACACTGGCTTCTCGCGGCGATGATGATGGCGGATTGCATCGCGCTCGTGGACGAGCAGGGTCTCGGTAGCGCCTCGCGTGCCGCGGAGAGGGTGGCGAGCGGGTTGGTGGGGGATTTGAGAAGGGCGAGCGTGCGCGAGGTGTCTGATCTCGCGAGGGCGGCTACCCCGCAGCATGATGTGGGCGGGTTGGGCGTGTTATTGGATTTTCACCCGGCTGTGAAGGAAGGGGCTTTGCTTACGGAGCCGTGGACTATGGTGTTGACTCGGTCGTTTGCGATGGCGGGGACGTTGTTGCTCGAGGAGGCGGGCGGTGGTGTTGGGTCGGGTGTTGGGGATGAGGTTGTGGTGGAGGCGCTGGATCGGTGTGAGGATTGTGTCAAGGCGTTGTGGTATTTGGGGCGCAAGTCGACTTTGTCGAGGCAAGTTGCTGGGATTCTGGGCGGTGGGTTGCTTGCGGAGCGGGCGAAGGGGTTGAGTGTTGAGGGCATGGTTGGGAGTCAGGATTCTTGGAACGTTTTTGGGCCTGTTGAGATTTTGTGATTTGAGCGGCCTCGGGGGCCATCTAGGGACGGGTATTTTGTTACGCAAAAGACGAATCAAAAGGAGAGATAGAGTGTATGTATGTCAAGTTGTGCCGACAACTCATCAGTTAATAACGAAGCTACACTGAAATACGAATCACGATCACGGTACACAGCTCTTTACTCTTACCGATGATTTCAGAACTCAAACTCGGTGTTGATCCCATGATAGACAGGAAATGGTCATAAACACCAGCCTCGAGATCCCTCATTAGCCTAACCAGGAATACAAACTCCGATCACCTATCGGAGGGTCGGCAGTCACGCACCTCAGACCCGCTCCGCCGTGCCGGGATAAAGGTACGTCACACCCCCCTCAAAACCCGAAACCCCGCATCCGACCGCCGATAAGCAACCCCACCCGCCATCAACCTCCGTTCTCTCCCCCGGAAGACCAAGTTCCTCAACTCTGCGACTACGAAACAAGCTTCACAGAACCATCAAACTCACTCAACCCTCTTCCGACCCAACAGTCCACACATCACAAGCCCTCAAACATCCCGATTCTCTCACAATGCCCCCCTCAACCTACCACATCACATCCGCAAACCCAACCCTCCTCCACTGGTCAAGTAAAACCCCTCCCATCCTCACCGTCCCCCAAAACCACCCCATAACCTTCGACCTCCTCGACTCCTCCGGCGGCCAAATCACCCCCTCCACAACACCATCCTCCCTCGCAGCCCTAAACCTCGCAACCTTTGACCCAATCCACGGCCCCGTCGCCATCACCGGCGCATCCCCAGGTTCCGTCCTCGAAATCGAGTTCCTTTTCTTAACCCCCTCCACAGGCTGGGGCTGGACCGCAATCTTCCCAGGCTTCGGGTTGCTAACAGACGACTTCCCCAATCACGCCATAAAACACTTCCACTGGGACGCCGACGCGACGCACATCGTCTTTAAACCAGGCATCAAGATCCCACTGCGTCCGTTTCTAGGGATAGCGGGGGTATCACCGGCGGAAGCAGGTCCGTTTCCGACGATTCCGCCGCTGGAGACGGGAGGGAATATAGACTGCAGACACATCACGGCCGGCACGAGACTCTACCTCCCCATCCGCGTTCCGGGGGCGAATTTCTCGTGTGGGGATGGGCATGCCGCCCAAGGGGATGGGGAGGTCTGTGGTACGGCGATCGAGACGCCTATGAAAGCTACGTTGCGGTTTACGGTCCGGGAGGATATGCCGTATGTTACGAGTCCGCACTATGATACGCGCGGGTCGGTGCATGCTCGCGGCCAGAAAGCGGAGGATGGTGTTGTGTATGCGGTGCTGGGGATTGACTCTGACTTGTTGGAGGCGAGTAGGAAGGCGTTGAGGAGTTTGATTGCGTATCTTGTTGCGACGAGGGGTCTTGAGAGGGAGGAGGCGTATATGCTGTGCAGCATTGCGGCCGATTTGAAGATTGCGGAGATTGTTGATATGCCGAACTTTGCTGTATCTGCGAGTATTCCCTATTCTATATTTGAGGACGAGCCTTGAATCTATCCTAGTATTTTTACATGGAGATGCCAACGGCCGTTCTTCCTCTGGTCTCCATGATGACCCGTCGTCATGGTGAACTGATGTTCGTCCATCATTGAAGCACACTTTCCTTCCTGAAAGACCCTGCCGAAGCCTTCTTGGAGCTCCTTCTGACACCCATGTAATGAAACGCCGGATCGCCCATTAAACCAACCGTATAGTGCCTCGTCTGGTCGCACTCCCTCCTGAACCATCCCAGCCGGAAGCCCAATCCGTGCATATGCCCGTGTACCTCATTCGACGACATCATTTCCGAACCAGGCGGCAAATGCGCCGCCGTATTCGAGTTCCGAAGCAAGCTGGCCACCGAGGCGATGCTGTGGAACCCGTCCGGCGCGAGACCCCTCGCATCCATATCCAGCAGCCAGCTATCCCCGCCGCCACAATGCCGGATCAAGGCCGATACTAGTGCCCAGATGTTGAACAGGATGACGGCCCCTAGGATACCTACCACGACGTACGTAATGGTCGGGTTCTGTACGAGCCGACGGCGGCCATTATCGTACACGGTCGCCTCCACAACACGGGCCGGCGAGGGACCGCTTTCGGCGGTGATGGGTTTGCGGTTCACGACGTTGGCGAGTTGCGCTGAGCTGAGAGCGTAGTTGTGATACAAGTTTTGCATCACGTCTGCCTGCTGTCCCTCGGCTCCGAGAGCCGACATATTCATCGTCCCATACGGTTTGATCAATGGTCGGAAGGGGCCCTCCACCCCTTTGAAATGATCTCTTGTGCCGCCGAGATCGACCTCTGGGTACATAGAAAACCAAGTGTTCAGATCAAGCGTGGGGTCCAGGGGCCTCATGGACGCCATATCTGGTCGTGGGGGGTTCTCCGGGTCGATGGCAAGACGGCCGTCGGAGAAGACCAGATTGGTTTCCGTATCGACTTCGACCCAAGAGTATTTGCAATTCCAAACGGCAGCAAAGGAGAAGTCGTTTCGAACCGGGTCAAACTCTCCCCAAATAAATGTAGAGTATAACTCCGTCCTCGAGTTTGAGGTTGCCGACTCGTCCGGGAGCCCGCAGCCAATTGAAGTTGGGTCTGATTGCGTCCAGAGCATGCCTGCAAAGTACATGCTTTTCAACGGATCGGCTGGGTCAGGTTTACCGATCGTGAAGTCTTTTTTGATGCTTTCGGATTTGTTTTGTCCAGGACACTCAAAGTCGACGAGTATGGCGGCGAAATAGTACGCTACCGTTCCGTTTTTCAAGGTAGAGTTATGATGGCTGATGTCGTATGTATCCTCGCTGAGTTGCGTGCACTGCGACTCGACCTTGGTCGCGGGTGTTGTGATTGCGACTGAAAGGTTTTTGGACGGGTCGAGGCTGTCGAGGCTTTCGAAATCGTGGAACAAAAGACTGTCGAATGTGTTTTCCGGCCAAGTCACGTTGCCTTCTTCCGGACGAGTCCAAAGACCATTGAAGATTTGTTGTTTCGCTTTGTAGGCTTCGTCGTACTCAACGCTGTCATTTCGTATCTGAAACCAAGTCTTTTGTTGAAATTGAGTTGGTGTCGACCCCGGTATGACTTCGACCGTGAAGATGATGGAAACAAGGGAAGTGAGTATCCCGCACACGATGGCGAGGCTTTGAGAGATCGTGACAGACCAGAGACGGTAACGGAAAGAGTAGTACAATGCGCTCAGTCCTAGCATATCTAGTAGAGAGCGGTCAAGGTCGCAAGAGTTGCATGTTGCTCTGGAGAGATGGTAGAGAGTTGCGAGATCACGATATGACCAATCGCAAGAGCTGATGTAGAGGGACACTCCGAGCGCTATGGTTGCTGGGAAGGAGGTCCACATTAGGTGTAAATAGCCGTCTTCTTCAATGGTTGCAAGGCCATCCGATGTCTGGGAATGTCGGAGGGTGACAACAAGACTACTCGCCAGCAGTATGGTGAAGATGCAGAATACTGCACGTGATTTTGTCTTCAATACCAAGGGCGTAAAGGCACCGCGGTTCCAGTCCGGCGATGCGCCTTTGATATCTGCAGCCCGGTTTGCGATGTCGGGGTGATTACTGAGAAACATTGAATTCCCGAGGAGCGTCGCCGGATCGCGGTGCCAGACCGAGGTGTCGTGGTAGTAACGCCAAAGTAGAAACGCAGTGATTCCGGCGTTGAAAATGAAGAGCGCAATCATCGGTAGGCAAATCTTGGGGTTTATGGTAAGGCGAACGATACGCTGCATCGATGTACCACTTCCACTGGAGCTTTCCTTTTGTCGAAGGAGGTAGTGGCTTGCGAATGGCCCAAGCCGGCGTGTAATGTTTTGTGATGAATCTTGCAACATGTCGGTCGTTACAACGGTTGGGTACTCGGCAGTCGCGTGGCCCCTGAACCTAAGATCAACACTGAGCGGACCAGTCCACCCTGAAACTGTATCAGCGTGCCAGATGTCTTCAGGCGGGAATGAATTATTCAACATTGTCATGATGTTCGGCGTGGTCAAAGGTCGTCGGTCGTCAGAGACTGCCATCACCGTCGGCTTCACACCATCGTCGGTGACCTCAACTTTTGACAACCAAGCGTGCGGCTCGCAGATTACAGCGGCCGGTGGATGGAGATACTCAGACGAGTTATCGCTCCCTAGTTTAAATACCCCATTGTAGTACAAGAAAGCTGGCGCTTGTAAAGGGAGTCCAGAACAGGGTCGGCCGACTTCTGAGTCCGTTTGCAAGCCCCAGAATGTGGCATTTAGTCTCGGAGAGGGCCAGGCGTTGAAATGCGGGATGATGACTGGTTCTTCGCATCCATCGAATTGAAGCTCCACGGTAAAGTTCATGTATAAACCCCTACCCTGATAGTTGGCGATGTTGTGCTGTTCCAAAATTGCGTGGGAGTTCAACTTGACGCATTGGGTATCTAGGAAAAGCCCATCTACGGTGGCTGTTACTGGGTTGGCGACAGTTCCTCGACTGATATCACTCCCGGTATAAAACGATTGATACGCAAAGCCTTCCGCGACCCCGTAGGGATAGTCGACGTTGAAGTCGTATTGAGCCCGTGCCCCGTAGTAGACACTCGCATCCGGCGTGTATGTAAGGTCTGGTGTTACCGAGTCAAAAGTGTCTTGCAGAAGGATGTCGATAGGACGCGTAACTTGGAGTTCCGTGAGGCTATATAATCCAGGGGCAAGGATGATTTGGGCCTTGAGCAAGGCAGAGATGAAAGCCACAAGAAAAACAAGATGATGCTTCCGACGAAATGACCGGGAGAAAACAAGAGGTAAAAGCATCGTGGTGTAGTCGAGTGCTAGATCACTTTCTCCGAGCGAGGGACCCGAACGTAGAGAAATCCAAGGCATATACATCATAGCTTGCAGCTCGACTCTAGCCCAGAAAATAGTCAAAATCGTAAAAACTAGACAGCAAAGCGTTAGACAGTTGAATGGGGGTGTCATTTCCGGGACTGGAGTCGAGAATACGGCACACTACTTACATGCAGTCGGCCCAAATCGCCACAGATAAGTGTGCAATAGACTCTGACGACTCTCGAAAAGTCCACTGTTGGTGTATGAATACCACAGCATGGCAGCCAGCGCCACGGAGAGGAAGAGGAAAAGGCTGGCAAAGAGTGCTAGCACAAGTGGACGTAGCCAAATCGGGCGCCATGAAGCTGTTCGACCCTCACATCCTTTATTGTTGCTCTCTTCATCGATGGCAGCGGCTTTTGCATTAGGAGGAGCCTTTAGTAAGTTATTACTGGCAGTGACATCTGTGTAGCAGGTACTGGTCTGTGATTTCGAGGAGGGCTTGGTCGGTCGAGAGGTGTTTGAAAACTCGGGCTCTGCGTTTGCAATGAGGTTTGTCTCCTCGCGAGGTCTCCATATGTCAATGTTGATGGTCGTACCACTCGATGTCTGGACGTAAATGGGCTCGTAGCTGAGGGTCTTTGGTGAGATAGGTTTCCGACGGATGGTGTATGGCTTCTGGCTTTCCTTCCGGCGCCCCCACGGAATATCGTCGCGGTGCTCCATTCTTCTCACAACTCTTCGATACCAAGGCCGACTTCTTTCGCCGCACAGCCAATGAATCCTGCAGAGGCCAAAAGAGATGAGCCAACGTCTATCGCGGAAACCAGCTGCGTTTAGGGGCGGGTTGGCTGGTTGCCGCCATTTTGTATGTATGAGCCATACGGTCCAGTGCCGCGGGACTGCAGGACCAAGCTATGGCCCCATTGGCCTGGCATGAAGAACGCCTCGAGATCTTCAATCCTCTACCTTAAGTTGTAACAGTGCAACCTAGGCGGGGGTTAAGCGCCGATGCAGGTGGGAGGCTCAGCAAGAGCACGAGAAGACCCACCACCCCACCAAAGCAATGGACCCTTGAAGAATAAGGTACAAGGCGACGAATTCCTGAGGCGCTTGATGGAGTGAGGTGGTAGGTGCAAATAAACGCAGACAATACTGGCTTGATTTGGCGGTTAGCCGCGCTGTCGTTAGTCAAAATGACGGGCGTGAGCTTGCTGAAGCGGGTGCTGGTGCGTCGATGGTCAACAGCAGGCAGCCTGATGTGGCTTGATCATCATGGATCTTTGCCTCCCTGTCGGCAGGATGCGTTTCGAATCATGGATGTTGCATGATGTGACTGAATTGATTGGGACTTTGGTGATTGGGGGCTGTGTTGGTTGTTGGTTGTTGGCTGTTGAAAGTTGGAAGTGGGAAGCTGTATGTGTGTTGGTTGTTGGTTGAATTACAACACTTACTTGCCATAGGTTCCAGGTTCCTAAAAATATCGAGGCCGACTGTGACCCACTTCATAGCCGGTCAGTGGATCCAACGGAAGCCGAAAAGCGGCATCTCAATTGTTTGATATCGGAAGATACGGAGGTTACCCCGCAAAGCAGCTTTCGAGAGCGCCGCATTTCAGAGTGTGTCGAGTACCGCTGCAAAACTAAGAAAGCCGAGGCCACCCCGTTGTGCACAACTAACGGGCTTTTCTTACCATGTGAGGCAATGAAGACCCGACGAACCTCTCGGCCTAGAAGTCCGTCTCGGCTGCTAAAGAGCGCCGAGTCCGGGGCGATCTGCTGCTGACTGCATCTTCCCTCGGGTTACCAATCAGCAGGTAGTCCTGTCTGTCGTACGGCCCATATCTATCTGCCGAGATGAAGTCACAGTCAAATAGCGTTAACCTTTGTCTTCTTAAGGACTCTAGCGGCTGCGAAAAGGCGAAAAGGCGAGGACGTGAGGTGGTACCTTAAGTACCTATCTACCCACCTACCTTACCTTAGTAAATTGGTAGTTTGCTATTCGGGACCATGGGAATGCAACAGGACTGGCGATAAATACCGAAGACCGCATGTAGCCTTGAGCTCGAACGGAATTGGAGAAAAGATGCAAAGAGATATAAGACGGACTATAGTCCGCCTGGCTCAGACATCCTAAGTTTCGGTCCATCTCCATCCCTACCACGCCTCCAAAACATGACATCTGAAGAGACACTCCCCGAAAGATGGGTCGCAGCCTGGTCCGCCAACGACCCAGCCGCTTTTGCGCAGCTCTTCGCCCCGAACGCCGTCTACATCGACCACGGCTCCCAGCTCCACGTGACACGAATGGACAACCACCACCGGGTCTGGCGCAACGCCGTTCCCGACTTTACGGCGGCGCTGGACCCATCTACGCCCATTTGGTGGGCCAAGAAGGATGGCGTTGACGGGAAAGAGAGGACGACCTGCGTATTTAGATCCCTCATGAATGGAACGTTTTTGGGATCATTGCCTAGGAAGGCGGCGACGGGGGCGGAGTGGTGTTTTGTGGCGATGGTTTGCATGGAGATTGAGGATGGATTGATTGTGAAGCTGGATGAGTTTTATCGGGATAGCTTTGAGAAGGGTGTTCCGGTGGACCAGTTTCTTCGGGATGCGCGATGAATGAAACGAGTTTGTCTTGATGCTTCTTCTGTGGATCTCTCCACCATCGATGATCTTCCACAATACCTACTGCTCAGTTGAGTTCCATAACTTGTGTCCATTGTGTCAAGGTTGCAAGCCTTGTACCGCAAATGCAATTTCTCTCATCTAGTGTACTCACTCGATACCTAGGTGTGCAGCCATCACCAAATCCGGTCCGAACAGTGAGTCTCGATTCTCTTCCATTGGTTTCTCAAAGAAGAGCAGCAGAGTGGATTAGCGAATGGAGCCTAGACCGTTGCGGTGATTGAGGCCGGAAAGAGACAGCGCCAGGGCCAAATTAGGGGTGGACCAGCGGCACAGCGGCAGTGGGCGGCTCGCTAGGCCCGCCAGGCCCGCCAACCGACGGGGGCAGCGGCGCCTTCCAATTTGAGGCCGACGATAAGGACACGTGGAGCGCGATAAGACATGCTGTGGGGCCACCTTCAAATTTGTTTTCACTTCTTACTGGTACGTACTCCGTACTGCCCCTCCGCCGCCCGGGAACCCCAACACTTCCCATTGAACGGGCACACAAACCACCGGCTTCCCTCTCCGTCCCTCGTCTCTCCCCGTACCTATCCGTACTCCTCTGGGAATAAATGTGGCCACTTGTTCAGTGCCGTCTTGTCTTTATTATCCGCTGCAACCTTGTTTAATTATCAAGCCTTGTCTCTTTGACAAACACCCGTTCGTTCCCTTGCTCTCTCCCCTCGTGGCACCAAGACATTCTCCTACAAACTTCCGTACGGATATTGAATA